TAAGGGGAGCAGGTGCCCCCTCTTTTCCAACAAATCACTGCTCCCCAAAATCATGATGAAGGAACTCCAACATTTGGCCTAAAAAACAACAGAACATCAGTGTTACAAAGTGGGATCTGGGCAGAGAGGTGAATTACTCAGAGGAAAAGGGGTCAGAGTAAATCCTGCCCTCTCAAGGAGAGGGAGCAGCAGAGGAAGGGGTTTTGGCCTCACTCACATTCCTGTAGAGTGCCTCGCTGCTGTAGAGCAGTTTGAGTGCCTGCTTAATTAGCACAGTGTTCCTCAGGGGAGAGCCTGCAGGGGTGGAAATGAAAATGATCAAACTCAGACCCCACACAGCCCAAGTCACTCCTCAGCAGGAACTCAACCAGGATATTAATTTGGTTACAGGTTTGTTTGTGCAGAGCCAGCAGGTGTTTACAGCTGGCTCTGTAAACACCCACTCTGCTTTGTGGTGGAATGAATGAACATCAGCTACAAACCAGAGCTCTGGGAAGCTGCAAAGCCTGGACACCATCCAGCCTGGGCCAGGTGATCCCACACAAGTGTCTGCTGTGGACATCACACACACTGAGGGATCTCACACTCCCAAAAATTCTGCCAGTAGGAAACAACTCCCAAATCAATCTTCTGTGGCAGAAAACACCCTGAGAGGTGACAAAGCCCAGGACAGATGATGGCAATTATATCAGAGGCTCAGCTCATGATTGTGAAGATGAAACATCTCCCATCAGGAGGTTTGCTCCTCAAGGTCATGGCTGAGACACAAAGCCAAGTCCCCCAATGCCATGGCAATGCTGGGAGCAATGAAGGGATTTGGATTTGCTTTGAATGGTTTCTCTTGCTTTGCTTTCAGCAGAAAATNGGTGATTCCAGATTTACAGGAGAATGATTGGGGGGAACCCCAGGATTTGCAGGTGGCTCTGGGGCAGTCCCAGGGGGACAATCCCAGAATTTCAGGTGGCTCTGGGGCAATCCCCACTCTCAGAATGGGACAATGCCAGGATTGATTTCAGAGGGCCAGGGGGACAATGCCAGGATTGATTTCAGGTGGCTCTGGTGGAATAATCCCAGAATTTCGGGGGGCCCTGGGCAGTCCCAGTGGGACAACATCAGGATTTTTTTCAGGCGACCCCACTCTCAGAATGGGAGATTCCCAGGATTTATTTCAGGTGGCCCTCGGGCAGTGGGACAATCCCAGAATTTATTGCAGGGGGCCCTGGGTCAGTCTCCACTCTCAGAATGGAACAATTCCAGGATTTCAGGGGCCCTGGGCAGTCCCAGTGGGACAATCCCAGGATTTATTTGGGGTGGCCCTGGGTTAGTCCTCACTCTCAGAAAGGGACAATCCCAGAATTTCAGGGGCCCTGGGCAGTCCCAATAGGACAATCCCAGAATTTCAGGTGGCCCTGGGCAGTCACAATGGGACAATCCCAGGATTTATTGCAAGTGGCTCTGGGTCAGTCTCCACTCTCAGAATGGGACAATTCCATGATTTCAGGGGCCCTGGGCAGTCCCAGGGGGACAATCCCAGGATTTCAGGTGGCCCTGGGCAGTCCCAATAGGACAATCCCAGAATTTCAGGTGGCCCTGGGTAGTCCCAATAGGACAATTCCAGGATTTCAGGTGGCTCTGGGTCAGTCCCCACTCTCAGAATGGGACAATTCCAGGATTTCAGGTGGCCCTGGGCAGTCCCAATAGGACAATTCCATGATTTCAGGTGGCCCTGGATAGTCCCAATAGGACAATTCCAGGATTTCAGGTGGCTCTGGGTCAGTCCCCACTCTCAGAATGGAACAATCCCAGGATTTCAGGGGCCCTGGGCAGTCCCAATAGGACAATCCCAGGACAATGGGACATCCCCAGTCACTCACAGGTGCAGGTTCTCAATGACCACGTTGAGGCTGAAGAGCCCCACAGCTTGCATCCTCTTGTGTCTGCAGGTGAGGAACAGGNTTAAGCTCCCTGGGCTCTGCACGATTCTCGAGCAGATAACATCTGTTAAGCTGCCATTTCCATAGTCCCGGGATTAAATCCGGGATTTCGGGCTGGGAGAGCAGCTGGAAATGTCCCAGTGAGCCCAGGGGAGCTGGGCAGGGACCCAACCCCGACCCTCAGGGCTGATTTGGGGACAAGGACCCCAACCCTCAGAGCTGATTTGGGGACAGGGACCCAACCCCGATCCCCAGAGCGGATTTGGGGCCAAGGATGGGGACCCCGATCCTCAGAGCTGATTTAGGGACAGGGACCCCGATCCTGAGCTGATTTGGGGGCAAGGACGGGGACCCCGATCCCCAGAGCTGATTTAGGGCCAAGGACGGGGACCCCCGATCCTCAGAGCTGATTTAGGGACAGGGACAGTGACCCCAATCCTCAGAGCTGATTTGGGGACAGGGACCCCGATCCCCAGAGCTGATTTAGTGCAGGGACCCCAATCCTCAGAGCTGATTTGGGGCACCAGCAGGGCTGAGGGAGCTGGGAAGGGGCTCAGCCTGCAGAAAAGGGGGATCAGGGGGAATCCTTGGCTCTGCACAGCTCCTGCAGGAGGGGACAAGGGGGTGACACGGGACAGGAGAGGGAGCGGCCTCAGGGTGGAAAATTCCATCCAGGATCCCCAAATCCAACTTTTCATGGATCCCTGCCTGGGCACAGCCCAGATCCCACTGACTCCTGTCCCCAACCCTGCCCAGGCAGCCCCTCCCGCTCTTCCATGAAGGAATTTTCCCAATTATCCAACTCAGAGGAGTTCCTTCTCCTCTTGTCCCTGTTTATTTCCAGGAGAAATCCACAATATTCCAGGTGAAATTCACAATTTTCCAGGTGAAATTCATGATATTCCGGGTGAAATCCACAATTTTCCAGGTGAAATTAATATTCGAGGTGAATTTCACCATTTTCCGGGTGAAATTCATGATTTTCCAGGTGAAATTAATATTCCAGGTGAATTCCCAGGGGGAGAAATCCAGGCTGGAAGGGGACACAAAGCCCCTGCCCTCAATCTGTTCCCATTCCCACTTTGGGGTCCTGGCATGGGGGGATTGGAGCAGACTCAGCCTGGCCCAGTCCAACCCCAAGGCAAAAATTCAAACTTTAAAAAAAAACCCCAAATAAAAAACCCAATAATCAAAGGAAAATCTTAACTCCACCAAAAAAAAACCCTAAACCCCCAAAATGCCTCAACTTCCTAAAATCCCCTAAATTCCCCCAAAACCCTCTTAACTCAAAAAACCTCACCCCTCAACACCTTCCCAACATCCTAAAAAAACCCCAACCTCCCAAAATCCCTCAACTTCCTAAAAAAACCCCAATAAACCCTCAACTTCCTAAAAACCAAACCCCCCCAAAAATCCAAAAATCTCATCCCCCAACAAAATAAACCCAAAGAGGCAAAAAACCCTCAAAGCCAAAAATCCCAATCCCCTAAAAAAACCAGGACCAAAACACCCAATAAAAATCCCCCAATATAAAAAATATAAATATAAAAATTTATATAAAAAATATAAATATAAAAAACCCCAAAGAAACCAAAGCCAAAAATAAAACCCCAAGCCCTCACAACAAAATCCCACCCCAAACCAAGTAAACAACCAAAAAAAACCACTCAAAATGTCAAAGTAACAATGGAACTTAGACAGTTTTAATGAACAAGATATCAGATTTCCACCCAGGTGCATTTTTTTGGGAACTTTGGGATAACAAGAGCTGCAGATCCCCCAAACCCCTGTGGAAATGTGCAAAGTGCCCCTGGGCACACTTTGGGGTTTGTTTTCCTGCAGAGCTCCTCCAGGTCACAGTGAATCCCAAATTCCCATCGGATTCAGGATGTGGGAAATGCCCCCTGCACCAATGCAAACCTTATTTTCAGCAGAAAACGAAAGGCCAGCCTGAAAGCTGGATTATTCCCAAACAAAAGCAGCTCTCCACTGCCCCAGCTGGGGCTGGCTGAGGAAAATAAAGCTCAGTTTTATCTTCAGCCTCTTGGTTTAGAATGAAACCCAAAATCAGAGCTGTGCAAAAACAGCACCTGACCCCAAACTGCTGCACAGGGAGCTCTCAGCTCCCCTCTCCTGCTTTCATTAAAGCTTTTCCCTCTCAGCAGTTGCCTCTTGCAAGGTTTGTGTCCCAAAAGGAGGAAAAAATTCTTTGCTGCCTCCTGCTCCATCCAGGAGCTTTTGTCAGCTCCTGAAAACAACTCCATCCCAACAATGCTGAATGTGTGGAACTGCAAGAAACTCCCAAAACGTGGCTCTGGTCCCATTGCAGAGCCAGGGAAGTCAGGTTTTAGCTGACTCTTCCTGGAGGTGACAACCAAAGCAAACCCAAGGAACTCTCCAGGAAGAGACTGGCTGGATGAAAAACCAACTGGAAAAACATTCCTGAGGATTTGGCCCCAATTAAAGCTTCTCAAAAGCACTGACAAACTTGGAAACCTCCTGGTGAACTGTGGTGCCAAAGGGGAGCTGCCCCAAGCCCTGGGAAGAGACAAAACACTGTTAATCCCCTTCAGGAATATTTTTTAAATATAAAAACCATTTCAATGTTTGATTGGTGAGGGGTATCAGGGATCAGCTTTGCTGATAAATCCTATAAATACTGGGGTACTCACAGACTCGAGGAAAAAGGTGCAGAGCTGCTTGGCCCAGGGACACCTGAAACAGAGAGAAATTCCCACTCAGTCCCACCCCTGGCTCTGCACGGCTCAAAAATCCACAAAATTCCAACAGCTCCCAGCCCCAGGGTGATTCCAGATTTACAGGAGAATGATTGGGGGGAACCCCAGGATTTGCAGGTGGCTCTGGGGCAGTCCCAG